TATAAAATAATAAACCAAATTTACCTATTTATCATTATTAAAAGTATTAATTAATCATTTTAAAGAGATTAATACTAAATTATTTTACACATCCATTAAATTGTTACAAAAATATTTAAAATTAATAAATCTCTTAAACGAGAAAAACATAGTATAGATATTATTTTTTTAAAATCTCACAAATGCGTATTTATTATTTTTTTTTCTTTCAAAATGTATAAATATTTAAAATATTTTTTATTAAATTGAGAAAAACTTCGTACCCGTATAGATATTATTTCAATTTATGATAGAAATTAAAATAAATAAAAAAAACTTCAATATTATTACTCAAAAAGCATTATCAAATCCATGTATTTCATTTGAGAGGAAATACATTGTTGTATCATAATGTAATCAAATTGACTGTACCATCTCTTATGTTTCTTCTATGCATATTGTTATTTTGTAAATAAGATTTATTTCTTTAATATCAATTACTTCAATTTTACCTATACACTTGTGAGATTTTGGGCCAGTTTATTTTACCTTTAAAAAAAATGTATTTTTAAAAATAATTATAAAAAACTTTTTTTTAAGTATTACAAAAAAAATTTAATTTATTTTTTATAAATTAAAAGACTAATTTTGACATATTATAACATAAACAAATATTTTTAAAAATCAAAATCATAGTTTTTTCAAAAAGTTGTGTCTCAATAATGATTTTTTTGAAAAATTATTTGAAATAATATTAAAATTAATTAATTTTTTGAAATTTTGATATCCAAAAAAAATTTTGAAAAATAATAAAATACATAAAATAACATTTTAAGAATAACTATTCAAATCAAATTTTTATTTAAAAATTTTATAAATTTTTTCTAAACTAAAATATATTACACTATAAAAATCATTAAAAAAAAAAAAAAAAACAGGTTCATAAAATAACTAAATTCATAAGTCAATCATCAAAATAAATCATCATGAGATATAACATTGCTCTATTTGTAAACTTATAGATGCTTAATGAATAATAAAATGTTTTATTCTCTAGTTACCATCAGCATAGTCGATCTAATTAATTCGAAGGTCCGACTCTAATTTACAAAATAAGTCTAAATTAAAAAATAAATATACAATTTTAAAAATTATGATTTTACATTTGTTTTTTATAAAAAAAAACTGGTATAAAATCAGAGGTTTGAAAACAAATTAAGATTTTTTTTTTAAAACAGATGTAAAATATATTGTTTTTGTAATTAAAAATAAAATAAAATTGGACTCCTCAAAATTTGAAGTCAACACTTGCTACACATGAAAAAGACTGGTCCTAACCATCAACACAATACTTATTTTATTTTAATAAATAATTGTCTTTGAAAAACAAAATACTTATTTTATTTTAATAAATAATTTTTTTTATTTGAAAAACAAAATACTTATTTTAATAAGTATGTTAGGATTGAATAGCAGGCAACAAAAGTGAGACTATAGGTAGAAGTATAATTTTATAGACTAAAAAAGAAATTAAAAAAAAAATTATGGATAAATAAATTAACCCAGAAAAATAAGAACAGAAACAAATAGTGTGTGCTTAAATCTGACACGAGATTGGGCTCAAGTGGTAAATTAAATCAGAAGAGTGAAAGAGGGGAGGGGAGCTGAGAACGAGTTTTTTGGAACCAACCCATCAGATAGAAATGCGTGAATCAGCAAAAGATGATTAACAATCAACGTGTTTATTGGCCAGAAAATTAACCATAACCTGCCAGAAAACAATCAAACAAGTAGACATGGATGGAAAAACACCGGGTCTCTGTAAAATCACCAGAAAACAAGGGGTTACTGAAAATGGAAAGTTTGGCTGAAAGTTCAACAGAGGTGGGGCGGTGTGGTTTTGTCCAATGGCACAACAGAAAGACGAGTGAAGTGGAGCTTGTGTACCTATTTTGTATGGTGCATGGAGGCCCCCTGAAAGCATGATAGGCGATGTATTCTAACAAATTCAACTGTGGATCACATCAGAAGGTAACTCTAAGAACAGAGTGTAAGTTGTTTCTAGTTTAACCATGCAGCAATACATACATAAAAGAAGTAAACCATACTTATATGCAATTACTATATTAAATAATAGGAATGGACCTAGGAAACTCTGGTGTGAGAATAAGCCAGCAATAAGCAATTCAGCATTGCGCGTAATCTGGGATGGACCGACATTTTATTAATGAATAACTCATTTGTGGTTTGATTTGTACTGGTATGTACCTCCACAAGGCCAACTTGCAGACATTGTTACCAAAGGATTGTATTCCATATTTTGGAAGAATATTATGCAAGCTTGGAATGGCAAATAGCTATTCTCCAGCTTAGGGGAGTGTTGCAAACAGTCACATTAGCAACAAGCCTAGACTCTTTGTACAGCAAGCATGAATTATCATAAATGAAGAGTGGGAGAATAATAAATTGAAAGTATTAACTAGAGGACATAACTGAAAGATAAACATTAGAATTTCATTGAAAATTAAAATGCGACACTTATTTTGAGACAGAAATTTTATAAGTTGCGACAATTATTTTGGGTCATAGTTAGTAGTAATCTTCACGTGTATAAATTAATACATTAAGTTGGGAATTGATCACTCAAGCAAATTTTGAAAAATCATCTCTTTTCAATTTTCAAAGGTACCCTTATGGTTCAAATCATGGTCTCTCGGTGCATCATATTATACTATAATGTTGTTCCTGTTTGAGTAGAGGGGTACTAAGATTCTCAGCATAGAGCAGTTCCCTGGCATGACAGAGTCGCTGCTTTGGTTGGCAAGCAGACTGAGACTCGAATTAAGGGTTGCACCAAACTAGTTTGCAGTGGTGTGAGAATGCTCTTGTGATGGTGCAATACAAGTGTTGAGAGCAACTTCGGCTTCAAAAAACAATGAACTCAGCAAGTCACAACAACTGCGAGTGTGGTTCTTGACTCACACCTGTAGCAACCTTCAAGACCATTTGACAGATGTACTTCATGGTGGGGTTTGAAGAACAGGTAGCAGGTTTGGAGGAGCAAGAATTGGAACTGAGGATTTGGCCCCTCTAGAGTGAGTTGCTCACTTGAAACAGTAAAGTGTGTAATATCAATTGTTGATGAATATATTGATGGTTGATATTATATGCACAATCATAACAAATCATGGATAGTAGAAATATCAACAGTTGATTTTCTCACTTTACTAACTATTTTGCTATAAACACTGAACTGGGCCACTATTCCTTCTCCTTTAGCGACCAGCCTTCGCACCGCGCCGCTCTCTCGAGATCGCACGGCTATCGACTTCTCTGATATATGAACATATTAAGTTTAAAATTGCAGACCATTTACTTCAAAATCCCACACAATGGTGACCTAGTCTCTCTCTACCTCTAACAAATGAAATATCATTTTCTGTGGTCAACTAACTGTCCTTTACTATTCATATAAAGGCATTCTCAACACATATTCAAACTATGTAAGATGGGACTCTACCATCTTTTCTATAACGGAAACAACCATAATCTTAACATAAATATTTTGAATGTTAGATTGTATAAATTGGGCACAAATATAAGTATGATTCATTTATCTGCAAAGTCTTTCCATACATTTTACGCTTTCGAAGATCAACCAAGGCCAACGAGATCTCTTTCCTGCTTAATTCTTTACCTTGTGCAACCCATTTATTCAGAGCAGAATCAATGAATAAACCCGAAACATTTACAACAGCCTTGAATAGTTCAGATCGACACTGTTTTCCGTGATTTTTTCTCAGCTGGATCACTCTCGGTATCCAACAACTCCAGCTCATCTTGTGGTTTTCCGCCATCCTCGTCACCATCCAACAGGTCTGTTTCAGACTCAACACTATCGCTATCTGCATCCAGCTCAGTCAACTGATCTTCAACCTCCATGTCATCATCATCATCATCTTTCGTGCTACTAGCATCAACTTGCGACAAAAGTTCACGCCTGCTCACAGTAAATTGCTGGAAAGCATCACCTGTGTGGTAAAATGTGTGGCCCTTTGAAAGAAATCTATAATGTATCATTTGATGAGAATCAGGAACAGCATCCTCATATTCGACCAAAATGTTTGGCATTAATTTGACACAAGAAGCACGAGAAGTTCCTACATTATTATTAAGTACTTGGTTTCAACAAACAATGAACAATAAACAATTTGCCAAAAACCCTGCATTTGTAACAAAAAAAATCAGCAACTAGCACCCAAACTCAAAATTAGGCACACAGTGCGGTTTACTGAGATTAAGCAAGCATTGATCACAATAGCCAATCAGAAACCGCTACACCAAATTTAACAGTACTATGTTATAATGATACAATGTAAATAATTCATATAGATGCTAAAAAATAAAAATAGAAGTACTGAAACTGGCTATGAATGATGCAGCAGCAACGGTAACAAGTAATCCATGAAGGTCTGGAAATAGTGATGATGGAAGAATGAGTTTACCTTAAGCTGGGGCGAATCGAAGTTCGACGAAGAGCCCACATGGTTGGAGGAGAGGGGAAATGAGCGATGATGAAAAGCTGAATGCTTAAACCCTAAAAACTAAACCAAATCGAAAAACCCCTCTAGTCTAATTTAATATCTCATGTAAATAAACAGACATCTATAGATTCATGTAAATCAACAGACAAACAAGTAAAAAGGTCTATCAAAATATTTCATTATAGATTATTTGATTAGATCTAATATTCAATCCATAGTGTAAGAGAAAACTTTTACATTATTCAAGGAAAAAAAAAGACAATTAAAAAGCTACAAGTTTCTTTCGATCACAACTTTCACTTCACACATCATGAATATGATATTGTTCGCTCAAAAAACCCTCCAAAACATCATATAACTATTCTAACTCATACAATACTTCATTAGGAAAGAAAATCTCACAGCATAAGCTCTACATTTCTTCAAACACTACTTCACACATCATGAATATAGATATTGTTCATTTTTCATCATCTTCTAGATCCTTTGATGGTTAGAAGCTTCACGTTCCAGACGACGCCTTTCCCTCTGTAAATTAGATTAGGTGAAGAATCGGTCAAGCATAAAATGGCTCATACTAAATTACTCAAGGTTTTCCAATTTCCAATTTGAATTGATTGGAAAATAAATAACATGAATGGGAAACCCTAGTATTGTATTAAAGAATTGAAAGCAGAAGAAAAATTGGGGAAAGAGAGAGTTACCCTTCTTTCCCAGTAAGGAAGAAAGCAAACGAAATCATAGACAGGTGTAATGGTTGCACACAAAACTGCGTTTAGTGAAGTGAACAACAAGAGTGCGGTCATGGGTCTGGTTCTATGAGGCATTGTAAAACCTGCAATAAAAAAATCATATGCATCAAACGCGTTAACAGATTCCAGCCTGGAGAGAGAGAGGAAGGAGAATCCCAACCGCGGTGATGAGAGAGGAAGGAGAATCCCAAGCTTAGCCGAAAAATTCCACCCCGACCTTCGTATTGATAGATAATACACAAGCAAGAAAACTGCCCCCGATATTCTCAACGAGTTTATAATTTATTTTTCAAACATTATATTAAATAGTAGTATTTTAGTTTATAATTTATATTTTCTCATTTTTCCTTTCACTTTTATTTTTATTGTTTTAATAAAAATTCACTATTATTTTTTATAATCTATTTTAATTTAAAAGTGTGTTTTGTTTTAAGTTATAAAAAACACTTATTAGAATTATATTTTTTAAATTATTAATTCTAAGAATAATATTCTTATTTATGTGTTTGGATAAAAATTATTTTTTTTAGAAATTATTATATATTTATTTAATTTAAAAATTATTTAAAAAATAATAATCAAATGTGATTAGTAGTGAAAAGTTATAGAAAGTTGAGTTTATTTTTACCGGAATGTTGGATTATCACCCTTTGTGTGTAGGAATAAGTATTATAGTATTTATGGTGCGTTTGTTTCAAGTTATAAAATGGTATTCTTTGGAATCCTATTCAAGAATTATTATTTATGGTGCGTAAGTTAAATTTATCATGTTGTTAGTTTTATCAAACACTTCAATTAACTTATAAGTTATAAGTCATCAACCATCAATTATAAATTATCGGTCATCAAACTATAAGTTATTACCTAGCTTATCAACCAATCACTAATTTTACCAAACAGAGTCTAAGTAGAAAAATATTACCAACAAAACCGTAAAGCCAACCACCAAGAACAGATCCAAAAATCATGATGAGTGGGAGTAAATGATAACACGAAATCGTATATATATTTTGATGCATAATTCAACTAAAGTTTAACTGTTTTCGACCCGATTTTGGGTTATTTCCGTGTTATTCGTCTGATGTTTTGCAGGTATTTGATGATCATGTCTAAACAAGGCAATATGAAGAAAAGAAACAATCTCAGATGAAATATGGACGAAAACCGGGTGAAAACATCATGAAAAGCGCAAAATGTTGATTTTGCTGTTGTGACGACCGTCACAACTCCATGACGACCGTCACACGGGTGACGACCGTCACACATTGTGACGACCGTCATGCAGGCAAAAACGCCCTACTTCAAATGCACGTGAAAGAAGCAGTTCCAAGTCCCAAATAGTGGACCACTACTCCCTGATAATTCTGCCTCAAAGTCCACATTCTTCAAGTTATAACCGTTAGAATTCCATTTCTATAAAAGGGGAAGAAGGGGGACTCAGAAAGGGAGCTGCATTCATACAACGAAGTGCTGCCCAATTCCATTTCCAGAGCAAAAGTTCAGTTTTATTTTCTTTCCTATTTTTTTGTTGCCTTTCATTCCTTCTGTAATTTCTATTTCCGTTGTACGATCAAATTGGCATAAAGACCAGAATCCTGCCAACATCTGTGGAGGATCTGCCCAAAGGCCAATTGGAATATTTACAGGTTTCTCATTTCAATCGTAATTCCAGTTTTTATTATGATGCATGCTATTATTTATTGTTTTTATTTATGTTTTACCTTTCCCAAATTCATGTCTAGCTAAATTTAAGTAATCGATATGTAGTAATAATTCGAAAGGGATTTGATAATAACCGGTTGAAAATTGTCTTTTTCAAAAGTCGTTTATGGTCTGAGTGTTTAAAATTAATTTACTAAATAAACTTCGTCGCGAAAGCGAGAACTTATTTAAAAGTAGTTTTGCCACGAAAGTGGGAAATTAATTAAGGTACGAACCAACAAGCGAAAGCTGCGGCAAGACCAGATAGTAAACACTAGTCATTCATTTTAATAACAGCGAAAGCACTTTGAAATGAATTAGAACTTAGAGATTTCCAAAAAATAATTTTAACCCCGAATGGGACACGAAAGCGTACGTTTGGCCCTTAGGATTATGATTAGCGTCAATAACCATCGTGAGGCGAGAGTCTTCAGATCACCATTTTCTGCTTAAATAAACTCTGAAAAATATTTCGTAGGGTGGTAACTTGTCAAATCCCTGAATAACATAAATATTGCATATCGATTCAATTAATTATACTTTAATTAACATTCTTAGTTCCCTTTAGTGACAATCTTATTCCCTCAAACATTATCTACCTAGCTAAACATAGTAACTCCCGAGAACACTAGTTTGATTACGAGTCCCTGTGGGATCGATATCTATTATTACTACGCGATAGACTGTGCACTTGCAGTTAGGTTGTATTAGACATAGAAAGTCGCGATCAAGTTTTTGGCGTCGTTGCCTGGGACCCGTTTAGTCAATAGTGTAACCTTCTGTTACGCCGTATAGACCAGGTTAATTATTTTCATTTTTCCTTTACTAGTGTTGTCGATTGTATGCCAAGTGATCGCCCACAAGGCGATATCTTGAAACCTTCAGTCGCAGAACTAGAACGCTTCTTACATCTAAGAAGCCGAATCATTGAGTACCAACTCAAACATAACATTCCCGATCCTCTCACTCCCATTCCCAAATCCGAAGAAGAATCAAACATGGCTGAAGGACCTCCAAACAAACCGCTGAAGGCATACACTACACCCTCTCAGATAGAGCCTAGGAGTAGCATTGCTGCCCCAGCTATTACCCAAAACGATTTTGAGCTGAAACCATCATTACTGTCAGCTGTACAACAAAACCAATTCTCAGGAAACGCAACTGAGGATCCGAACGAACATCTAACGAAGTTTGTACAATACGCAGACACGGTGAAAGCAAATGGAGTAACTCCAGACGCGATAAGACTTCGTCTTTTCCCATTCTCTCTTAGAGACAGAGCGTGGACATGGTTACAATCCTTACCATCCAACTCCGTTACGACGTGGGAACAATTGAAAAACGTCTTCTTAGTGAGATATTTTCCGCCAAGCAAAACTGCTATGCTTAGAGCTCAAATCAACGGATTTCGATAAAAAGAAACTGAATCTCTTTACGAAGCATGGGAACGATTCAAAGATATGATGAGAACATGTCCTCACCACGGTTTAGAAGACTGGGTGACAATCCATACTTTTTATAATGGGCTTTTATACAATACCAGATTGACAATAGACGCCGCCGCGGGCGGTGCACTTATGGATAAGCCATACGACGAAGCCTATCAATTAATCGAAAACATGTCTCAGAACCACTGCCAATGGGGAGGTGAACGCACTCCAATAGAGAAAACCACAGCGAAAGGTGGGATGTACGAGATCAGCAGCCTTGAAAAGTTCAACGCTAAAGTAGATGCTCTGGCACAGAAGATTGATAGTCTGACCGTTAACCCCACTGCAACCGTCGCTGCCGTAACTCCAAATTGCGAGTTATGCGGAAGCACCACTCATAATGCGCCCGAATGCCCATTGCTAGCCGGAATCCCACCAGACCAAGTAAATTATGCTCAAGGAAATCCTTACGCAAATACCTACAACCCAGGTTGGCGAAATCATCCAAACTTTTCTTACAAAAGCGAAAATGCATTGCAAATGCCTACTGCTCCACCAGGATATCAGAAACCAGCTGCTGCTCAGACTGCACCTAGGAAATCAAACCTCGAGTTGATGATGGAAAAATTCATAGCTACTCAAGCTCAAACAAACAAAGAATTCCTAAATCAAAACATACACACTAGCGAGCAAATTAAACAGTTGACCGAAAAAGTAGACGCTTTAGCCACCCACAACAAAATGCTAGAAACACAGATATCACAAGTGGCTCAACAACAAGCCTCTGTTGCCGCACCCGCTGGCATATTTCCTGGACAACCCGAACAGAATCCAAAAGCCCAAGCAAATGCTGTAATACTAAGAAGTGGAAAAGAATTGGACGAACCGATCGATCCGAGGACCGAAAACTCAGCCATGCAACAAAAACCAACTGAACAAGCAGAAAAGGAATCCGAGTTAGAGAAGAAGGAAGACAACGAGAAGGAGGATACCGCAAGTGAAAAAACTCAAGCACCTCCAGCGCCATATAAACCACCTATCCCTTATCCGCAAAGATTAATAAACTCCAAAACTTCAGGACAGTTTAAGAAATTTGTAGAGCTCCTTAAACAGCTGAATATTACTATTCCTTTTACAGAAGCGATAACTCAAATGCCGTCATACGCTAAATTTCTCAAAGAAATCCTGTCAAATAAGAGAAAGATCGAGGATAACGAAACAGTTACACTTACTGCAGAGTGTAGCGCTATAATTCAAAACCGCATGCCTCCTAAATTAAAAGACCTAGGTAGTTTCTCCATACCCTGCGTCATAGGAAAGTTCGTGATAGACAAAGCTCTATGCGATTTAGGAGCCAGTATCAGTGTTATGCCTTTATCTATATGCAAAAAGCTGAATATGGGAGACCTCAGACCAACCAAAATGGTCGTAGAATTAGCTAACCAATCAGTAAAATACCCCGTCAGAATACTGGAAAATGTTCCAGTACGCATAGGACAATTCTACATCCCAACCGACTTCATAATCATGGACATCAAGGAGGACACTGTCACCCCAATTATTCTAGGAAGACCATTCCTAGCTACAGCCGGAGCTATTATAGACGTGAAGAAAGGAAGGCTAACATTCGAAGTAGGAGAAGAAAAGATAGAGTTCATTCTCACCAAGTTCTTACAAGCACCAGCCATAGACGATACCTGCTATTTAGTAGATGAAATTGACGAATGCATAAGAGAACTTGAAAATGAAGAGACCACGTATTCAGAAATAATAAAGATTCAAATACCCGATATTTCTGAAGACAATGATTGGCGTAAACCGTATAAAGACGACAGCCTAAGCGAAAGCTTAGCACTGACCCCAAACCACATGCCAGGTCCAAAGAACCCATCTTTAGAACTTAAAACACTACCCAAAAACCTTAGATATGAATTCCTAGACGAT